CTAGTAGTAACAGGTGCCACGCTAGTAGTAACAGGTGCCTTACTAGTCGTAACAGGAAGCTAGTAGTAACAGGTGCCACGCTAGTAGTAACAGGTGCCTGGGTTCCGATTTCAACTCAGATCCTCCACAAGGTCAGCCCATCCAGAAAGGATAGTTGGACTGCAGAATCTGGGCAACACCTGCTTCATGCCAGCCCCCTAAGTCTGGTGACTCTACCGACTCTACCACTTTGATCTTCAAGTAGATCTTCTAGTTGTCATTCTTTTGAGGAACAGCTACCTCCAATGCCTCTCGAACATCCCACAGTTGCGGGAGTTCTTCTTGGAGGGTAAATACAAGGCTCAGGGTGGACTGGATTTGGGAATGTTTTGGTCAAAAGAGATGTCTCAACATTTCGACAGATAGGAGAAGGTAGCCTTGAGATTTGCAACTGTTCTGTTTGGGCTGTAATTAATAAGCGTCACAGCCAAGAGCTGTTTGCAGGAGAATCTGAACCGGAATGCCCACAAGACCGAAGGCAAACTTGCAGAGTCTTTCGCGAATTTGCAACGCGCTGAGCATGATCGGATGTGCTTTGTGCAAGTGTTTTACTTGGTACTTGTTCCGTTCAATTACTTGAAAACCTTGGATAACGCTACTGTACCTTATGCAATCCAAAAGAGCTGTCCAATATATCACATAAGGGAACATAATCCCAGCGATGCACATTGACCGTGGGCCATTCGATTTGATATGATTGGATTGATTTCTTTTGCCACGACTCGTGACCGCCCGCATTTCTGCTGGCAGGGCGGATTGATGCCATGCTCAGGGAAGGTATGGTTGAGCTGGAGCTCGACTGCCTGCCCCAGGACTGAACATGCCCTAAGTGCTCGGGACTGGCTTGCAGGGTGGGAGTGGTCAACGTGCGCCTATGATTGTTTGTTCTTCTTGCTCCAACTGGTATATAGATTGCTGCAAAATTCCTATGCCATTTGTATAGAGAATAGCTCTCTATTGATTTATTGGTTCTCCACTGCATGTAACTGTTTCAGTTAGCTTCACAAGCATTCATCCTCTGCCAGGCTCTGAGAATAACGGGTTTGTGAGCATCAGCCCCCTGCGGATCCCCGCATGATTTACACCTGTACTTAACAAGACCTAGCGTCTGGAACAGTTCCAGTTTGAGAAATGGTGACCCTGCTTCTTTGGCCAGGAAGTGGTCTCCTATCGATTCAAGTCAGGCCCGCGTTTGCTCGCAATCGATCGACCGCCAGCAGCCGATCGCTGTCGCTACGGCTTCGTCCTCGGCCATTGCTGTCACCCACAACGATCAATGAGCCAAAGTTTGTTTTTGGGGAACACCCGGAAAGCGAAAGATCAGCTGCCTTGACCAGCTCCCAACGTTAGCGATCCATCGACCCAAATGTTCGATTGAGCATTTGGTCGACCTCTTTGGTGCGCTACAGTAGCTGCTTTGGGGAGGAACGCTGCAAGAAGTGGGAGTTGTTGCTGTCCAAAGCATATCATGTTGACTCTGGCTTGTGAACAATGACTGGATATGACTAGATTCATGATCATTGCCTCATAATTCTCTCCTGATGCTAAGCGTGCTTTACATATGTGCTCATGAGTAAACAGTTCCTCCATCTGCACAAACCTGCTAATCATTGCTTCTATTCTACAAACATATCGATCAACAACAACAACCACAACAACAAGAAAACACACATGCACTCTCGCCTTCGCGCAACACTACCCTCCTGCACTTCACATTTCGCACCAACACGTTCTGCACCTACTCTCCCTCCGTCGCCTACTGGACCCGCCTCGCTCGTGGCGCGCGGGAGGCGATCCACCAGATGCATCAGGTGAGGCACACTCAGTGCATTATTTTGTCAACTAAGTATTTAACCTGTTCGGTGGGTGCATGTCATTCTGGATTGAAGCATAGTGCAAGGGTTTTGCGCCATGCAATACGGAGACATTTGCTGTCGATGTTGCGCCCTTTTTCCGCAGTTTTCAAGTGGTTGCTTCTTAGATTTTGGAAAGTTTCGACCGTTCTTCTGATATGCTGATTATATACTCTTGGGATCCACATACCCTTTCACCCTCTGCCGTACGGAGATTGGAGACACTGTCTATGCTTCGAAGGTCCACTTTTACCTTTGAGAGGGTACGACCAGATCCCGCTAAATTCTCTTCGATGTCTTTCATGCCCTAGATTTCCTGGTCCACTTCAGAACGTAGTTAGACTCCCTGGCACCCGCCCTGATCATTTTGTCCAGGGATGGGATACTCCAGCATCCCTCGCAGACCTGTACAAAATTATACACACATTCTGTTTCTGTTCAACCCCTGTTTCACTCATGTCAGGATTTTTCTTTGGATTCTTAACTCCTCAGAGACGACGCCTCCTGTGTGCAGCAGATCCTTTTCTTGGGTTTACATGCCCCCCTGTCGGAAAACCCCATGTTTCCACACTACGTTTTCCGGGGAACCGCGCTTTCTTGGACCAGTCCCTTTCTCGTTCACCCTACCCTACCTGGACACGGTACAATGAGAAAGATAGAACTTCTTCTTCAGACAGCCTTCCGCCTGCCCACCAGCAGATGACCTGCACAGCTGCACACGGCCTAGCAGCTCCTGTTCCTTATTTTACGCTTTGCCCCTGCACTATAGCCACACTCACATGCCGTTTGAATGGGCCCTCACCCCCCGTTGAATCTTCCTCCTCTCTACCTCCACTCCGCACAGGCAGCCGCCGGCCATTCGCGCTGTCTTCAACCAGGCGCAGCGCGTGCTGCTTCAGCTCCTTTTCCTCTATGCATCACACCGCTCTACTCCTGTGCCCTGCAGCCATTTCTCGTTTGACTTTTCGTGCCTTTCGCCCACGTCTTTCGGGACCTCGCTGCTGCTCTCTTGCAATGGCTCCAAAGGCGTCCAAGTCAGCGGCCCCTAAGCCAGCGGCAGCACAAGCCTCTGGTGCTGCTTCAGCATCAGGCTCTCACGCAGCCACTGCCCCACTGCTCCCGGCTAAGCGTTCGGCCCCTCCCTCGCCCTCTACCGAAGCCTCTCCTGTCCGGCCCGCTACCGCGCCCGCCACACCGGCAACACCAGAGCCCGCCACACCACTGACACCGGCACTTCCCGGCACTGCCGCTCCTGGGACCACGTCGCCTCCATCCAAGGCTCCGGCGCCTTTCCTTCTTCGCCGCCGCTCTGGCGGGGGTGCTCGCTCCAGCGGGCCCGCTCCGCTGCACATTGCGATCCACAAATACTGTGAGGATGGCAGCACCTGCCATGAGTCTTTCGAACCCAATGCTGCTGCATATATCCTCCTGCTTCAACAGGCTGGAAACAAGGCTGCGCCTTCCGTTCTCTACCAACTCAAGACAAGCCTGGAGAAGTATATCGCGGCCATGCACCAACAGGACACTGCAATGCCGGCAAGTCTCATGGATTTGGTGCCCACCTCAGACCATTAGACGTGACCTTCATATACTTTCATACTTCATTCATTCGGTCCATGATTTCTCTACTTTTTCTCCGCCCCTTCTGCTCAGGCTGATATGTGCCAGCTCTGCTGGACCTTGGGCGCAGCACCTGGATGGCAGCGTGCCCTGTACGCTGGCGGCAGTGAGGCGGTTGCTGCGGCTTTGCACCACCTCCACGCTTTCACTACGCACCAAATCGCAACCTTGTATCCGGCTCATCGCGTCTTGGACGTCCACGTTCACGGCACCAACCTGACGCTGGCTGATGCAGCGCAATTTGTCAGTTGGCAGCTCCATATGCAGCCCGGGGAGCATCCAAGCATGTCCATTGCAGAAGCCGTTGCTCCTGGCGGCAACACGCATCCCACCATCACCGTGCAGAGCAGCCAGGAGGGGACAGACATGTTCCAACTTCAAATCAGCGGAAACACATACCCACTTCGCCACCAGCTGCACGCCCTGGGCCTCGCCGCTGAGACCACCCCGACCGGGTATGTGCGGCGCTCCGCACCGTTGGAGGCATCGGCCCTCGTCTCCTGGGCCAAGAATCTCGCTCCCACCTTCCAGAACTCGTACTATCTCTGCAAATCTGAGCCGGGAGTGGATCCAGCACTGGTTGTTGAGATCCGAGCAGCCCTGGCAGCCACTGAGCCTGAGCATTCCTCCCGCTAGTCTCCACGCTTGCCAAGTCATTTTTTGCTTTAGCTCCTCGCGGCCGCACAGGGCGTCGACCGATGCTCTTTGTTGTCAGCTTACAGCACACCTTTCTGGAGCTAGATTCCTTCTAAGGCAACACAGTACCACGCCTTCCTTGCTCTTCGGAAAATGGTACTCCTTCTCATCCACTTTGAAGCATTTGTCTAATGGAACTATGTGGTCTGGAAATGAATAATCCATGTTCCTTCTTATTCTTTAGAGTTGCTCTCGTCCTGACTCCTTTCCTGTTACTCGACCGCCCCACGCGCACAGGCCTTTGGCCCGTTGCGCCGCACCGAAGCGCCAGCTAAGGCGGGCACTGCTTCGCGTTGGACGTACCTAAGGCCTTTCCTCAATGGACACGTATGTGTATCATTGCTTTTGCGCGATGCAATTATGTCTTGGCTGTGGTCGTGCAGCGCCCTATCCAAGGCAAAATCATAGAACTTGGAAACACAGAGCTGCCAATACATCCGCGTGTTTGTTGGGTGAGTGCTTAAGCTGAGCCCACTCTTTTCCCCACGTGATCGGATCTCCTTTCGAATCCCGAGTCGGAACCTGTGTCTTTTCCACATTGCCTTCCAACCCTGGATTCCCAGGCGAGGAGGAACCAGCGGAGGAAGCAGCGGAGGGAGCAGGACTGCGCCGAGGATGTCACGTTGAAGCAGGGAAAGAGTGAAATGAACCACCGCAGATGCACTTGTGGATTTTAGTTTTGTGAAAAAGATTGCCATGGCACTGTGTTTGATCCAAGCGGGGACTCATCTATTGTCACTCTCCTGATCCCGGTTAGAATTTCCTCTATGGACTCAGGTCACCTTAATAAGGGTTTCTCTCTATACAACGGAGTCTCCTACGTGTTCTGCTTCTAAGGCAAACAGCGTTTTAGCTAGCTTTGTCCGTGCGCTTGATGTACTGGAGCTGGGATGTCAGATTATATGGTCGTACCTTAATTTCATGTAACTGTCCGTGAGCTTCTGCGTGGTCACATGGGGGTTGTGTTTTATAAGCTCCTTGATGCTCGATGCGGTGGATGTTGAAGACAATATCTGCCCGATATATCCCAATATCCTGGAATTACCTGGATGATCTTTGGATGTGCAGACAAGGCAAACAACAAACAGATCGGAAAACGCTCTGGCCACTATAGAATCACAGGATTTTTGGTTATCTTGATGTTATTTTTTGTCGAAGATGGGAGGTGTGATTCTTCAGCGATCGGACTTTTTCCGATCACTGTCCCGGAGGTTGCCTTTCCGACTAAGGGGTTAGATTTTATAGTGATGTCGGTTTGTTCAGGCCTCAGCTTCTATCAGGACCTAGGTGTCCCGAAGCTGGGGGGCGCCGTTTTATACTATAGAACCGGGCCACCTAAGACCGGAGGTGAATTTCATAGGGGATGTCTCCCTGTGATTATTGTCTTTCAGGCTTTGCAGCAACCATGAACAACACATACGTAATGTGTTGCTTTAGCGTCCTTACAGAACCCCTTTTTGCTCTGTCTCCTGGTCCCCCCTGTCGAGAAGGCAAGAGAAGTTCCGTTGCCAAGAAGGCCACGGCCGGGGATCGTCGACTTGCCTTCTCGAGCGGACTGGGCCTGGAGCGGCGAGTTCGGCGGCGAGTTGGGCCGAACGGGTTTCTTTCAGCACCTCCGTTTGGAACGCCTGAGAAAAGCGTGTCCCAATTGTTTCAAAAGTGTTTAGACTTTTGGAAGTGCTCTTGGGCTTTGTAGCATCATATTATCATATTCTTCATGTAACCAGAATGAGGCATTCTTGCTGCGAGGTGTGCAAACATGAGAGAGGAGACCGATTCCACCCCTGGGGCACGACACCATGCGAAGCAGGCCTTGGCTTAGCCCAGTACCAAGGGACGGAGGAAGCAACACCAATGGAATACGCCGAGTGGAACATGTTCACCCATATGTATTTCCACTTCAAAACAGGTCCATCGCCCGTTCCAGCAGGAGACCATCCAACAGATAACTTCGAGCTGTTCTGGTTGAGTGGCTGCTGACCTCCCTGTGTTTAGACGGGCGGTGTATTTAGACGGGAGGTCACCAGCTCCACACCTTAGGGCCACCCAAGTGTGTCACCTTCCTGTGCATGGGATAACCTCCGTGAACAAACACTTCTCGAGAGGTATGGCTCATATTATATATACACACACACGTATGTAGAGAGAGAAAGAGAGTGTACTGAATCGCAGTAGAAAAGGATGAATGGACTCGTCCGACCGATTCAGGCCCGCTCAGAAGTCCTGATGCTTCGATGTTTGAACCCTATCCATCGCCCTCCACCAATCAGCGGCTCACGTGGCCCATGCAGGTGCTCTTTTGCTCACTATGACCAGAGTCTTGCGCGGTCCATGCTGGGGCAGGGTCCCCTAGAGCGGCCGATCGACACGATCCAGAGGCCATTGGCGAAATATACGTATACAAAACCCACTCCATGGCCTTTGACAACATTTCACACTCCTTTTCCGAGCAAATGCGCCCTATTGAATTCAAAGCCTGTGGAATAATCACTACATGCACTCTCAACTTCACCTTCTTCTAGTCTTTTGCATCCCGTTTCCCTTCCGTTACATGTTTTTATTTAATGTTTGCCTCCATGCCCGGCTCTTTTTCCGGCTCTTACATTGTGTGTAGTGTTACATCGCTAATTCTTTCTTTCTGTTTCGGATTGCCTCACCATGTCGGACCGGTCCCGCTCGCCGGCCCGCCGCATGCTCTACATCCACGTGGCCTTCCCCTCTGGGCGCCACTTCCTGCACGCGGCGTCCCCAAACTGCACCGTGGCAGCTTTCTCTGCGTGGCTACGCGAGTGCCACGGCTGCCGCTTCTTGCGGCTCGTAGACACCGACGCCACTCTCTTGTCGGCCGAGGACACTCTGCATATGGCCGGCGTGAGGGATGGAGATCAGTTGACCCTCGTTTTGCAGCTGCCAACCCTGGCCGCTACCCAGAAGGCGTTTGCCCAGGCAGGCCCTGACTTTTTGCAGGCCTGGGGCAATCCCTTCTGGGGCGGTGATCTGGAGGAGCTCCCTCCACGATCTTTTGGGTATCCTATCTTAGCCGCCACCTGCCACAGCTTTGCCGCCATCCTCGCCGATGGCTCGCTCTTCACGTGGGGGGATCCTCTTCGTGGTGGTCACCTTCCGGGAGACTTGCTTCCTGATGCTCTTCAACAACCTGTCGTTGCACTTCAGCACACGGATACAGCCTTCGCGGCCCTGTGTCGCAACGGCAGTGTCTGCGCCTGGGGTGCGCCCGGCGCTGGTGGCGACATAGGCAGCGCGCAGCCAGAGCTGCACGACGTCATCGCCCTCCAAGCAAACAGCGGTGCCTTCGCTGCCTTGCGCGCGGACGGCTCCGTTGTTTGCTGGGGCGACGCAGCGTCTGGAGGAGACTTGGTTCCTCATGCTCTTCAACAACCTGTCGCTGCACTTCAGCACACGGACACAGCCTTCGCGGCCCTGTGTCGCAACGGCACTGTCTGCGCCTGGGGTGCGCCCGGCGCTGGTGGCGACTTAGGCAGCGCGCAACCAGAGCTGCACGACGTCCTTGCTCTCCAGGCAAACAGCGGTGCCTTCGCTGCCTTGCGCGCGGACGGCGCCGTTGTTTGCTGGGGCAATTCTGCCCACGGCGGTCGCTTTCTCCACTACCCGACCCGCCCAGGCTGCGCCGTTGCGGCGATCCAAGCCGCTCGCGAAGCTTTTGCGGCGGTTTTGCGCAACGGCCGCGTCGTCAGCTGGGGCGCTGCCCACCTCGGCGGCGACAGCGCTGCTGTCCAGGGCGCTCTGCGGAATGTCGAATGCATTCAAGCCACTGCCTGGGCCTTTGCTGCCATCCTAAGTGATGGCAGCGTCGTGTCCTGGGGACATCCGGCGCACGGCGGCGACTAAAAGATCTAAGCGATTTTTTTGCGACTTTTCGACCTCACGTCGGACTGCTCTGCTTTAGGATTGTCTTCATTCAACTTGATTACTCAGAAGACTCTTGGACTTTCCTTTCCCCTAGTTTCGTCCGGTTTGTCTGCCGAAGTTGTTTGCTTTAGACACTTTGTTGTTCTGCGCTCCACTTTGTGCTTTCAAACATGTCATCTAACAACTACAATATATCTATATAGGACAAAATAAAGCACAACACCAAATAGATGAAAGGTCATTATTCTGCATGAGGGAAGCGTCGCAAGTTGATACTTTGCGATGCGCAGAACCTCCCGTCTTTTTCCAGTTGATGTTTCAGTAGGTGCCCCTGTTATATGCAGGCTAAACTTAGAGACACTGGATCATGGGAGCTCGCAAGCAGGATTTTTGACATCTGTAGAGCCACTCTAAAAACCGAGTCACTCACTGTGTACAACCTCAATTTTAACACCGTCTCCCCACCGGATCAATTGATTCCTACAAGCCTCAACTTGCTCACTGAGCGCTTCTGTGCCTGGACATGCTTGCCATTCAAACTCTTTTCTCAACAGTTTCGACGTCGCAGCGACACCTCCGAGGCAACGCTTCAGCTGAACTTCACCGCGCCGCTCCTCAGCCAGCCCCGTGAGGCAGTGGTGCGGTACCGCCCTGGGGTCAGCGGAGCAGCCGATACCATTAACGTTGTCCAGCAAGTCTTTGTTTTAGACACTTTGTTGTTCTGTGCTCCACTTTGTGCTTTCCAATTCTTTTTTAAATCAATCTTAACACCATTGACCCACCAGATCCATTGATTCATAACAGCCACAACTTGCTCACTGAACGCTTCTGTGTTTCGACGTCGCAGCGACACCTCCGAGGCAAGTCGGCGCGGCGTGTTTCGCACGCTGGCGTCCACTCTTTCACCCAAGCGATTGTTTCAGCCTTGCCCAGACCCTGCCGGACACCACATCCGACCAAGACCCAGCCAGGACCTACCCTTAGCCTTAGACACCGGCATGTTCAGATCTCAACCAGGATCCCTTCGTTTATAGTTCTGTTCCCACGTTTACATGCCTATGCAATTTTATCTCTTCCATTTCAACCCCTATAGTCATGTTGATACTCTTTTTCCATTAGTTTTACTATTCTTTCTACCCAATACCACCACGCACCCAATCATGCCACTTTCCATTGATCTCACGCTTTTCTTTCTCTTGCTCTCTTTGTCTCCGGCCTTTTGACAGGAACTACGTCGTGGATGCCCTTGGTTCCACCATCTGTGCCGCCGCCGCCACAGGCGTCCACAGCTGGGTCACCTTTGCACCATGCCTCCATCCATGACCAAAAACCATGCCCTCGTATTGCTCGCCGCCACATATTGGCACAGCAACCGCTCCTTTCCGCCTCGTTCCACAACAGCCTCCACACCGTTGACATGGTTGAGGCCGCATGGACAGCGCTGCACTTGCAGGATAGCCTGCGTGACACTTTGGATGCGCCGCTTTCCTGGAATGACTGGCAGCACACCTATGCTGCTCTGGCCCGCTCCTTTGCTACAACAACTACCAGTACTGTGCACGCATGGCGAGTGGCTATGCACCATCGATTTGGGCCACACTGGATTGACCGCTGCACTCACCCACCTGCGGACTGCGTGCATCGCGCAGCGCAGCTCCACAGTGTCCGATATCCCGCGCCCAACCCACCAGCCTTGGACACTGCGAGGAACCTACTTCTACGACATCTACAGCAGCCCCTGCCATGGAATCTGTGGCAACATCTCCTTGCACGCCTGCGTCGGCGT